TTCTTTTAACATTCGGAAATCCTCACACCAAGATTATACTTTTCTGACAGTGAAATCCACTAATGTAACACATTGAGGAAAGGGAGGGTGGCATATGTGGATGACTCCACACATCCTCAGCCTGGGGCTGCCAACTTTTTAAGACTGTGAAGTGGGACATCTCAGTGTGGGCCATCTGGCCTCAAATGTCAACATCTCACTTGTCGGGCTTAACCATGGTTGATCCATTTCCCAAGTTGGAATGTAACTGCAAAAGGCTTTAACTCCTAAGTTGTCTGTAGATTAGCTTTTGCTATGTTATGTTATTCACTTTCCTTTTGTATCCATCTCTTGCTGAATTTAATTGTAGAAATTCCATGGTGGAGTCAAAAGATTTTTTACTGTAATTTTTTTTTTGCTTGCCTCTGTGTAGACACAGGCATTCTAGATGCTTACAGGAACAGTATTTTGGCAGTCCCCATTGTTATAATTTCAGTAAATTCTCAGAATCTCAGAGCTGGAAGCAACCTCAAATGGCAGCTAGTTCACGGTGGCCTTTGAGAAAGAATACTCTATGCAACATCCCTGAGAAGTAATGACTTAGCCAGTCCACTGATGGAGTACTCATTACCTCACAAAGCCATATATTTCTGGAAAAGACGAAATGGTGAGAAGTTTGTTCTTTATATCTAATCTAAATCTGCTTGTATGTTGTTTCCAACAGGTGCTCCTAGTTTTGCCTTTGCTCTCCAACCAATGCAAATAGCTACGTGGTGCAATGAATAGAATAATGGACCTGGAGTCAGGAAGAAGTGAGTTCAAATACTGCCTCAGACACTTACTAGATATGTTACCCTGGGAAAGTCACTCACCCACTGTTTGCCTCAGTTTCCTCATCTGTAACATAAGTATGATAATGGCACCTACTACCTAGGGTTGTTACAAGGATAAAATAAGAATATATTTGTAAATCACTTTACAAACTTTAAAGTGTTCTTTAAATAATATTATTATCATTCCTTCAAATGACATAGGCTAACCCTTCAAATAACAAAAGGGAAGCATCGTATTTCACCTAAGTGGGTTTTTTTCCATTCTTTTGATTTCTAAACAATCTCAATTACTTCAGCTGACACTTCTAATGGGATACTTTACAGGTTCTCACTATCTTGGTCACCTTTTATATGGCCTTTTGTACATGTCATATCTCCTCTATGTGTATTAGTTTCACAAGTAGCTGTGATACAGTGGATAGCAAAATGGCCTTTGAGTCAGTAAGGCTTGTTTTAAAGTCTTGTTTCTGAAACACCCTGAGTATTTGGTAAAATTTGGTAAGTCAATTTACCTCAGTGATCTGTCATCTCTAAGATGATAAGTTGTTGAAAAATGCCAACTAACCACAGTAGAGAGTTTCCTCATTCAGGAACCTATATCAGTGAAATCACAGTTCTAGTCCATCTATGTTAGTATATATGTATATATATCTATACACATATATATGTTATTAGAGGCATACACATATACACATGTGCATATGTAATAAATAATCATGCATGTATATATGTGTGTAGACATACACATATTCGTACAAATATGTGTGTATATCTGTATTGTGTATGCATATATCCATATATGTAGCTATAGACATATTAGATATACAGATAGGGATATGCTATTCATATTTAGTTTTACATCAATATACATACAGACACATATCTATACAGATATACAGATACACACACTGTGATTTCACTGATGCAGGAAACTGGCATTTTTGAAACTATTTCCAGCAATGCAGATCTCAGATTAAACATAATTTTTAGTTGTAGAGCTTTTCCTGCACTCCTGAAAAAGTAACTTGTCCATTGTGATACAGAAAATATGTGCCTAAAGCAAGACTTGAATCAATGTCTTTCTGACTCTGAGGCCAACTTTCTATTCAACCTCCTATTTCAAGTTCCCTCTCTGCTATTTAATGATAATGGTCAATATACTTATTCTATAATATGCTTCTTCAAAAAAGTCAAAGTGGGAAGAAAAGGCAGTGTTTTGCTCCTATGTTTATAGTATTCAACAGACACTATGAATTTGAGGATAGTCAAGCAACAGTATTTAGGATTAGCATTTATAATCTCCCAAATTAGTCATCAAGAATCTCAAAGGGATGCGTGTGTGTGTGCACTGTAAGACTTCTTGCCTGTCTTTCATACATTCAAGCTCATTACATCTGACATAATTATATATTTCCTATAAAATACAGGAAAACACATATGTAAGCATGCTCTTCACATCCCTAAAATGAAATGTCAAAAGATTCACCTCACAGCATGAAGATAACCAGGATCATAAATGGAAATGACTGTGCATTATAACTGTGATATTCACACCTCAATGAGGAGTCAAACAGGGACCACTGCATTGTGAACCATTGTCAAATAGCTTGTATCAGAGACTCTGATGAAATGAACAAAAAAAATACCAGCTAAAATATGTCAGCTTCTTGCTGTATTCAAGTGCATCAGTGAATTATCTTTTCGTGGGAATCACCACTGACTGAAAAGTTAGAAATTTTTTCCTTGTTCAACTCCTTGCTTTCATCTGCTTGCAGCTGATATTGCATTGGAGACACTGTATTCCACTCCCATTAGCTATTTAGCTCAAACTTCTACCTCTTACGAAACAGGTTTAATGGTACGTTGAATCTGCCCATAGAAGTTACCATATCACTGATGGGAAATCTAGACTTTAGAAATAATTAATAGCAACAAAACACCATGGTTGATTTGGTTACTTCTTGGCCTTCCTATTTTGTTCCTCAGACTTTTGAGTGTCTTTTCATTGACTTTTCCTTTATACTTGGAATTAATCTGGTATTTTAGGAGAAAAATTGTTGTGGTCATGAGATCCTGCCCCTGAACTTTGTGTTGGGTGCTGTGGAACATACTTGATAGATAGCCTTCCACATACATTTAATTTTTCCTTTAAAAAAATTCCATTAATCCTCAAAAACACATGCAATCTGTAAGGAAACTGAAGTTATGTACATTGAGGATAAAGGATAAAAGCTACTACATAAAATTCCCACAACCACTGACTATCAAGGTGCTGTGGATTCTCAATCTAGACATAAACACTCAGGAGGTATTAAGCATGAAACTATAATGATAGAGAGCTATCATCCCTTAGGAATTCTGTGCTCCAAAACTTACAGCAACTTGAAGCAGAATCTTGCACATAATACTTCCCAAGAGACACAAGTTATCACATAGGAATACAGGCATACAGGGAAAGTCAGCTTGGCATACCACAACTCAGAGCTCTGTCAAAAAGTAGTGTTATTGGACAATCCTGTTCTCCCTTCTTTCAATAGGTGTAGCTATCTTACTACCCAATAATATTCCAGCCCAATTTAAAACCTGTGCTCTCCTCAGATTTTTTTAATGCAACCTACAGGGAATCTTATAATGGACTAGAGGCTGGTACTGCCCAGGGGTACTGATAATAGTCATCCTTTTCCTATCTCACAAATAAAAAGTTATAATGATTATAGTGATCTAATGCTCCTCATATATTTTTGCTACTTTTATCCTTAAATACAGATGGATAGATAGATAGATAGATAGATAGATAGATAGATAGATAGATAGATCCATCATTTCATTTTGGCACTATGGTAGATTAGCTATTTCACTGGCCTAAGTATTCTCTCCTTCACTACAGATAGAATCTTCCCACATTTTCTCATTCTCATTTCTTTTTTTTCTGCATAAATCCTGACTAGAGTACTTGACAGAGACAATGGAAGCACTACTGTTCTTCATTTATCTTTTCTATACCAGCGTGGCACAGGGCATGGCACATTTTGTTGTTGTTTAGTCGTGTCTGACGGTGACACCTTTTGGGGATTTCTTGGCAAAGATATTGGAGTGGCTTGCTATTTCCTTCTCCAGCTCATTTCACAGAAGAGGAAACTGAGACAAACAGGGTTAAGTGACTTGCCCAAGGTCACACAAGTGTCGGATTTGAACTAGGGTCTTCCTGACCCCAGGCTGGGTGCTTTGTCCACTGTGCCACCCTGACACCCCGAAAACATAGTAAGCACTTAATAAAGACTTATTGACAATATTTTTACTTGATTCATCTGTAGTCTCTAATTTTTTATATATCAAGGACTCACCTCCTTTTTTGATCTTACATATGCTCAATGAGTTCTTTGTAGGAAAGTCATTTTGATAATATGCTGAAGCCTACTTATGCTTATTTTTCATATTCCCAATAACCTTTGAGCAATCTGTACTCTAAATTTTCCTGAAATAGGATAATGTGCTTATGGTCTGTGAAACTATAACTTAAATGCAAACTCCTGGGCTTTAAGGGACAGGCTCTTGCCATAAAAACAGTTCGGCGTCATTCAAAATGCTGTTTCATTTCTCAAATGTGATCCAGCTCCTCTTCTTCATTTCCGGGCCCAAACTGTTCATCTGCACTATCTATCCAATACATGGATTGACGGACCGATTACAGGAGGCGCCCCTAAAGCAATATGTTATTTTTCGTCCGCTTTGCTTTTCTAGTGTGAATAGTTAGGTCAATATCTTACCTGTTGGTGTGACCTTCACTGATGAAATAATCCTGACATTTTTATAGTGACATGTTGATTTTAATAGACTCAATTTATTGATCAAAGATAGAAATGAAATTGATGAAAATATATTAGAAAATGTGAATATAAGAGCTTATAAGCAAAATGAGAGTGAAGGTAAATACTCATTTTCTAAAATTCCTTAGTAACAATTGAGCAACACCATAACTACTGTAATACAGAAATTTGATTCATTTCTATTTTGTCCCATTGTTGACACAGTTCTTCAAAATATAGACACATACATTAGAACTATGTCAAATTTCAAAAGCATAAAAATTGTTTTAAAATGAATATTTCCCAATTTTTACCAAAAATAAAGAACAGCAACATTTTTAATCAACATCCACAGAAATACAGAATAATAAAAGTCACTTACCTATTCCAATAAAAACGGCTTTGTATCCTTCTTCCTTCAAAGTAGAGAGGTTCATTCCATTCACTGCAAGGCCTTTACCACATATCACCTACCAGAAACAACATTTAATTTCCTTTTTAGTTTCTGACTTTCATGAATTAGATTATATATACATACATACACACATACATACTACTAATCTACATATTCCAAATAAGCTTAAGGTGGTTAAAGTAACTTCACATGTGACTAACAAAATTATGTGCTTTATTTGAACTTAGGAGATGCATTTTCAAATTGTCTCAGGCAAAACTTGTATTAGTAATCAATGTCAGACATCTACTTAGTTAGATTCAACCCAGCAATTGAAGAAGTTTATTAAGTACTAGGTACTATTCTAGGCACTTGGAATATAGAGATAAAAATTAAACCATCCTTACCCTCAAGGAGCATACATTCCCACTGAGGAAGAATCATATATGCAAGTAAGCAAATGAAAATACATAATAATACAATTTTAATAGAATGTTAAAAACAAATTAATCCAGCATAAGCTTTGGTAATTTTTGAAGAAAAAACCTTATCTAAAAAAATACCTGGGATATAGATCTATATCTATGATAAAGGCTAAATCAGCAATCATAAAGTGTCATTTATTTGCCTATTTTACTCTAGTAGTTATTGTTATACTTAATTGATATTTTTATTTTTATTCTGGTGAAAAAGAATAAAGAATATGTTCATGTGAACATTAACATGCTTAAGAAAAGACTTCACCAGTGTATACAGTAATGAACATTGATTTCTTAAACAGGAGATAATACGAATCAACCATGGATACAAATAGCTGTTTTTTCTTATACTGAAGGAAGATTCCATATCAACATATTTCTCAGGAAAACTTTTGAAGATAGCTAAAATTCAATTCAAATTCTGATGCAATGAACTGGAATTCAGTCTCTGCATTTGGGAGGCAAGTAAGACTGATGTCTTATCATTATAACCTTTGAAATAAATGAAACATCAACTTGAGCTTAGATTTTTTTTTCCTTGTAAAGGTATCTTATTTACCCTATCATAGCATATATTAAAATGGAATGTTACCTGTATAGTTTAGAAACATTTTCTTTAAAAATATCCATCCAGTTGTTCCTATGAAAACATCTTCTACTAATACTGTTGAGGAACTCATCTGCCATTTCTAATATTAGAGAGCAGCTTGGGCTGTGACAAGTGCTCTTAATGTAATCTCCCCTTTTCTCAAATATTACATAGCACATTTCTTTGACTTTTGTACTTCTTTAATTTGCAACTGGATCACTGTTATTCTCTGAATGTCCTCCCCACCTATCATAATGTAAGCCACTTGGGAGAAGGTTCTATATCCCCAGAAATTAGCAATGTTCTTTGATCTTTCAAACTACATACATTTTAAAACACAGTGCCAGTCACTGTGCTAAGGGCTAACAATGCAGCAGTCCTTTGCCCTCAAGGAAGTTACATTTTATTGGAGGAAACAACACGCATACCTACATTAATGATATATTCAGATTTGATAGTAAGTTCAAAGTACACATGAGAAAATTACAAACAATAATTTAGGGGAAGGGCTAGTGTTTGTGGAGAGGGGAATCAGGGAAAGCCTTATGTTGGAAATGATACGTGCACTTCATTCTGAAAATAGTTAAGAATTCTAAGAGACAAAGGTGAGTACATTGTAAGAACAGGGAAGAGCCTTATAAAGGCACAGAGATAGGAGACAGAATGCTGGTGTGAGAAATAGCAAGGAAGTCACTTTGGCTGGAATAAAGAAATTTTGAGGGGGTATAATATATAAGTTAATAAAGATAACTCCTGCAATCATCAGATGAGAAGTCCAGCGGAGTGTATGAACTAGAGTGGTACTCACATGCATAGAGAGTCAGCAGAGGTGGGAAATGCTGTGAAAGCCAAGGTGATGATTGGAACTTAAGAAATATTTCTTAATTGAATGAATGCATGCTAATACTATTTTTTACTTCCTCTTATTCTTCTTGTTCAGTCATTTTTCAATCCTGTTTGACTCTTGGTAACCCTGTTTGAGGTTTTCTTGGCAAAGATCCTAGAGTGCTTTGCCATTTCCTTCTCCAGCTTATTTTGTAGACAAGGAAACTAAGGCAAACAGGTTCAAATGACTTGATTAGAGTCTCACAGCTAGTAAGTGTCTGTGGCCAGATTTGAACTCAAGAAGAGAAGTCTTCCTGTCTCCAGGGCCGGCACTCTATCCACTTCACCACATAGCTGCCTCCCTTATTCCCCTACAACTTAACAAATTAAAATATCATTATCCCTCATTGTTCATGTGTGATTTAATCTTTCCTAATTTAAACTGGCTTCCTCCATGGTGTTAGAATGGGTAAATACTGCACTAAAATATGAATTGGCTCTTTAAAGGCTAAGACAGCTTCTTTTCATTGTAATTTGGTAAAGTTAACTTTATTCTAAAAGTCTAACTATGGCAAAACTGAAATAAATGTAATTTCTCCACACCATCTATTTTATTTTTAGTGGATGTGTGGAAAGGGAACTTATCATGTTGCCACTCCATATGCTGAAGAAAAGTACACACAGATGCCTCAGCAGTTCCTTCCATTCTTGAAAATTTTGGCAGGTATACCATTAATACAGACATCCTTGGACCAAGATTGCTTTTCAAAGGGGCTACTGAGGTCATTGACATCTTTAGGGAGCACTGTTTGTCTTAGTGAGCCTTAATATTAAGCTTCTATAAAGAAGCAGGTTCCAGACAATCAGTGAATATACTGCTTATCTGCTGTCCAGCTTAGACCTGAAAATATGACCTTCTCTACAACCTACTTGACAGGTGGTCACTTAGCCTTTGTTTAAAGACCTCAAGACCAGATTTTGTTCAGATTTGATTCCTACTGAAGCTTCCATTCCCCTTTGAAATCACTAGGCTTGAAATCTTTGTATATGCAAAAATATTTGTGATTTCATCAATGTGGGTATTCCAGTCAATGACGAACATAGCAACTATGACTCCTTTCTATGTCTATCTTAAATTCACCACAGATATCCAATCAACATGATTGGGGTCTTCTCCACTCTCTTCTAACAGAGGATCACATGAATTCGACCAGCCCATTACATTTTATCATAAAATCCTTTGATAATTCTTTATTCTAGCTTTTCATAGTTCCTTATTTGCTACGTATTGATTGGAAAAGGTTACTCAATCCACCACATACCTTTCCATTGCCCTCTGAATGAGACTCATTTCTAATTCCTCGGAGGCTGTAGCTTCTATGACTCACAGTTATATAGTAATAGCTATACCAATTTTAGGTAAAAAGAAGTAAAAGCATCACACATGTTAGTTTTGCAAACTCAGACTCATAAATTGAAAGCAAATATCAAAACATAATATTGTCCAGTGATTCACTGAGTGACACTAATAATAGTAATAGTAACAGTAATACTTTAAGGTTTGCAAAACATTTTATAAATGTTATTTCATTTTACACTCACAACAACCCTGATAGGTACAATTATTATCCATATTTTACAGATGAAGAAGGTGAGGCAGATAGAGGCCAACTGACTTGCCCAAAGGCACACTCTGAGGCAAGTTTTAAACTAAGAGCAAGAGAAACATAATTCCTTTATGCATCAGTCTCTTGCCTTTAAAGTAAGGAGGGAAAATGCCTTTCCACAGAGCCAGATCTCCTATTCGATCTTCAATCTACTGCAGGAAAAGGAGAAACACCGTGCCATCTAGCACTGGACTCCTCCCTTTGAGGAAAGAGAAGGAAGTACATTCCATCAAGCCTCTAGCCTGTTCTCCTGCCTTGGGGGACAAGTGATAGCATCATTCCTTTAGCTCTCAGCACTTGCCCCATCTCCTCAACTGCCTAAGGTCCTGAGAGAACTATACCCTGAGGAAAAAACTCCATCAGAAAAATAAAAACCTCTCTGTACTCATTCCTCAATAATTAGCACCCCTGCTCCCCTTTACCTCCCCTATCTCATCAATTCCAAAAAACCTTACTGTCATCATTCAAATCCTGTTCTTCATTCCCCATTGTCTGATTCCTTACACCTACTGTCCTCAACTCAAACCTTGTGTTGGCCTTCTCTAAAGCTACTCACCTTCCCCCCACCCCCCACCATGCTCTCTAGAATGCCTGTTCCGTAGGTAACAAACTTGCTTTTATCTTAAATTGTTTCCTTTTCTACTTCTTGCATCTTCTGGCTTTCACTGAGACTTGGCTCCCTCCTCATAACAGTGTTTCTGGCCTCTTTTTCCAGCATTGGAAAGGTAGTATTTTCAGTCATTCACCCCAAGTTACTTGTCTGAGTAGAGGAGATTATAAAACAGATAATTTCAATTACAGGAATTTAAAATGCCTTTAATGAATAAAATTAAATTAGTTTGAGAAGTGAGGTGATTATTGTGTGTATGTATATGTATATGTATAACTGTACACATTAGATTATATGTATATACATATCTATTACACATACACACAGGAAAAGAAATAACTTTTCTTTCAGATCTCTCTGTTAAAGGTCTGATATCCAAGATACATAAACTAGCCACTCTAATGGCTCCCTATAATCTCCAGTCATTCATAACCTATGCACTCTCAGTCCTAGTCTTACAGCTTCACCCCACCATATGTTGCATGATGCACTAGCATTGACCTCCCAAGACACCCCATCTCCTGACTGGACATTTCCACAGGCTTCCCAGTATGCCTGGAATGTTCTCTCTTTTTATATTTGCTTCCTGGAATCCATGGCTTCTTTTAAGACCTCATCTCCTACAGGAAGCCTATCCCAATTCTCTTTAATTCCAGCGACTTCCCACTGTTGATTATCGCTAATTTATACATACATACATATATATATATATATATATATATACACATATATATTCTTTATATACATACATATATATACACATATGATTTTCCTTCTTTTTAAGGTAATTGGGGTTACATGACTTGCCCATGGTCATATAGCTAGTAAGAGTTTGAGGACAGATTTCAACTCAGGTCCTCCTGACTCCAAGGCTGGTGCCCTATCCACTGCGTCACCTAGCTGCCC